TCTCTCCAATAAAGTCCAATGAGTTACGTGTATTTTTAGATGACTCTAATCATGATATTGTTTATCTGTCGGAACATTGGCTTACAGAAAAAAAATGAAAATTCACCTACTCACTTTTTAGCTGCTTACTTCTGCAGAAAAAATATGAAACATGGTGGAGTTGCCATCTATTGTAGAAATGATTTGAATTCAAAAATATCAGACTGGGATTCTTACAGTGTTGAACTCGACCCTGAATTTTGTGGCATTTTTATTGAATCAATCGAAAGCTAGTTATTTGTGTATACAGATCATGTGCAGGGAAAGTCAACGTCTTTTTATCAAACCTAGATGCTCTTCTATCACAGTTACTGAAAAGCAAAATGAAAATATCATTACTGGGAGGTTTCAATATAGTTTTATTGTCTAACACAATTTCACATTTCCATCTTGGTCTTAAAATAACTATCATTAGCTTTACACGAGTCACTGCACAATCACACAATCATCCACATGCATAGATAATATAATTATCAATCTACCTGAAAATTCATATGACACTGGTGTTATTGACCCCTGTCTATCCGATCACAAAGGGCAATTTGCAATCACCAACGAGTTTCCAGAAATTCGTTCAGAGAGAACTGACACCTTTTGTATTACAAATAAAGGACTAACAGATTTCAGAAATCATCTATTCGGGGTAAATTTTATTTATCTGGATATCGACCAACTTAGTGAGACACGGTTCTGAGAAAACCTTATGAATATTTTTGAAAATTTAATCAAACTGAAACTACCATGGTTCGATGATATTTGTCTGTCTGTTTAATATCTGTTTTTCCGTTAATCAGCTGTCACCCCCATACGAACGACAACTCTCAGAAGTTGAGAAACTTGTGCGAGCTAAGGACTAACGAGGTCTTACCTTTTAACGTGTGATTCCTAACAAGGACATGAGAAATAATCTTAAGGCAGCAAAAGTTGCAGCAGATATGTCACGAAATCTATAGTATTCGAATGCATTCAGGGCTATGTAGAAAGATTATAAGGTCCTGTTGAAAAAAAAAACGAAAATAAAAAGTAAATGAAAAATTCATATTGAGTTTCCCTAATATTTCCAGAGCTAGCTGGAATATAATAAACAGTGAGAAGAACCCTATTAATGCAGTTAAACCAGTAGAGCTATCAACGCAATGCTTGAATTACTTTTTCTGCAGTATAACTGATAATACTATTTAAGCTCTTCCCGATATGAAATAAGTAACTACAAAAACTTTTCCTCGCATGCGTATCATTTTTTCTGGACTCTGTCTGTCCTCAAGAAGTAGTAGATACGATATAATCTCTTAAAAAACATCAACTGTTGCGATACACACGGCCTAAAAAGCCAAATGATTAAATCCGTGGCTAATATAATCGCAGCTCCACTAGCATTAACAATAAACGAAATCTCTTCAACTGAAATATTTCCAGACGTTTTTAAAAGTTCAAGAGTAATACCCTTATTCAAAAAAGGTTCTAGATATTCACCGGATAATTGTCGCCCAATTAGCATAATATTTAAATTTGGGAAAGTAATTGAGATAATTTTGAAAAATCATTTTCATTCCTATTTTGAAAAACGGTTTTACTTCAACAATGTACGGTATGATTTTTGAAGAAATAGATCAACTACCCAAGTGGCTTTCAAACTAGTGTCGAACATAGTTGAAGGACTTGATCAGGGAAATCACTCTCCTTTGATATTATGTGACCTGACTGAGGCATTTGATTGTGTATCGCATTGCATTTTGATTGACAAAATGAGCTATCATGGTGTCCGGGGCACAGCTCTCAAGCTCGTCCGATCTTATCTAACAAATCGTTGCCAATTTGTTGAAGTGAACAACGTAAAGTCAGACCTTAAAGAAATGAAGCATTGTATTCCTCAGGGATCTGTTTTAGGTCTATTATTGATCTTGATCTACATCAATGACCTATGCAGTCACATGAAATAACAAACAACAACTGATGATGAAGATAGCAAAACATTAGCTCACAATTGGTTTTCTGCTAACAAATTTACCTTGAATAAAGATAAAACTCGAAATATAATCATATTTTCCAATCGCAATATTCCCCAATCTGAAAGTGTTAAGTTTTTAGGATTCACTATTGATCATAGATTGAGCTGGTCTGATCATATCAAATCTATGTTCAGCAAACATTCTGTTTTGTTCGTTTTGAGGCGACTGAACGATGTAGTCACCTTGATGACGCTGAAAAGAGCCTACAACGGATTATTTTACAATGTTTCTATAATACAGAGGAATATTTTGAAATAGCGGGATCTTCAACTAATGGAAGGCATCTTTAAATTAACATACCTACATTTTCATTTTAGCAACATATTTCAAAGATTTTATATTCATGATCTCATTTATACTTATATCCTTCACTTATATTTCATAGTAGATGAATTTTATCTCTGATCAAGGATTTCTGTATTTGTGACCATAAATGTACAACTGTATGTAAAATGGTCTAATAAAGTACTCTACTCTACTCTACTCTATTGTCTATGGATGAATGGTTCATTTGAAAGCCAAATCCGCAAAATATTGAATTTTTGCAGAAGATGAGGGCATTTTCTCCAAAGAATTTTCAAAACTGCCCTCCTCCGTAAAGGAGGACTAGTTGAAAATATTCCATGTGCAGCATAACGCAAGTGTTTGGTAGTTGTTTCAGGCAAATGGAAATCGAAACATTTATAAAGCGTATCAGATGTCCTAGCACGTTCATTGGAATACATAGAAAAAATTACGACGTCGTTATTCAACTATTTCACAGTTATTGCGCGAAAAAACAGAGCAACTTTAATGTTATCTGGATTATTTCCACAGTAAATGGAAAACAGGTCATTAAAAACCAGAAGGAGAAAGGAACTGTCTGCTGCAGTAAAAAACACTTAATACATTACCGCTGTAAAAGCAGATTTATTTTCACGGAATTCAAAGTTATTCTGTTGCACTGAAAGCAAAAAAGAATGACCAGAGGTGAGGCGGAAAACATCAAAACAGTTCAGCGAATTGAATTGTTTTATGGTTCTTTTTTATTGCGGGACTGTGACAATTGCTTTTGGAAACAAATATGTTTGGATAAACTCGCTGAAGTTATTAAGAACTTAAATGTTTGTCGTCCTTCTGGAACTCCGTTTGTGCGAGAACAAAAACAAAGAAACCGTTGCAAAGTATTTGATTATACATTGTTATCCAGTGTTGTGTGAATGGCCTGTTGGGCTGAACGGAGGACTTTTTAAGATTTTGCGAAACAACTTCATCTGAAAAGACTAATACATTCTATATTATACGAACTGAGCTTACCAAGAGTTATTGACATATCTAAAATTTCATGAACACATTCAGGTGCTTTGCGCATACAGTCGAATGGTGAGTTTGATTGAAAAAATAATGCTTCACTACAACGTAAGGTCAAGTTCAAAACATATTTGTTTTCTAGAAGTTCAAGCATCAGATGCTCTTCTTATGACCAGTGAATCAAAGTATATTGATGAAAAAGATACACACCATCATGAGGTTGGCAGAGAACTCAATCTGCTAATATCAAAGATGAACAAGACTCCCCGAAGAATTACAAAGCTCCCCAAAGCAGTCAGCTGCAAAGTCAAGTCTTGACTTGTCATTCACTGCAAGGCAACTACTACATGGGCTGAAAAGTATCGGGTTCAACACATAGGTGGCGCTAGTCTTATTTGCAGCAGTTAATACTTACCTTTAAAAGGAAGCTGTTGAAATTTCATGATATTCTACATATGAGTTGGTGCATTATTGTGCTAGAATGGGACTACTTGTCTTATTTACGAAATAATGGATCATAAACAATTTCGTGTTTGAACCTAACTTTCGATTTTGGCGTCTTTTTGCGGGCAAATAAAACTGTTCCGTATTCCAAATTATGATACTTCATTTGCAAGCTGATTTGACATAAATTCGGTGACAATGCATTATGGAGTTTTTCTAAGGGAAAAAACAAGATGGCGGCTTCACAATGGCGGACAAGATTTGCAATTATGGTCCGATTTGATTCAAAATTGATAAGTGGTGGTTTTCAGGGTCGGAAATTATGAATTGTTTTTCAATGGTGGCTCCAAAATGGCGGACGAAATTTGTAATCATGGTTCGATTTAACCCGACACCGAAAACGAATTCTTCAAAACACATATGTTGTGAACATAATGCAAAAAACACGTCAATTTAAAATTCAAGGGGGACAAACCCTATCGTTACCTCAACTGTCATAATTCTCTCTCCCCACCCCTTGGTCACTCATATATCATTTTCGTCAACTGGATATCGAAAAAAATGAATCCCGACATCACCCTGCAAATCACAGCAACCCACAGCTCGACACTTGTTCATTTTGGAACTAGACACATGCTCTTACGAAGCATCAGGCGTAAAAATAATTTTCCGAAATTTATTCGTTTTTACTAACAAAAAAAAACCTGAATACATCCTGTAATATCGGAACTATATAAATCACCATGATAAGCGACATTAAAAAATTATAACAGAACGTATTCCACATTATTCAATGTCAAAATTGTCATTCTCATGTTCAAGATTTCTCTCAAAATTTACATTCATAAAGTAATAATCCTCACATAAAAATGATTATTATTGTTATGAAAAAAGTTCATTTAAATATACGTGTTTTCCTTTCGCAATTTGTATTTGATTTTGTAGCAAGCACATCCACCTCAACTCCCTCTTCATATAACAGTAGAATGTGACATAAGGTAAAGCTAGTAAAGTCATAATTCTGCTCGCTTTTTATAGTTTTCAACGCTCCATCGATCCTCAATAAACTCTGCTACATCGGACTCATGAACTTACAACTGTCATTAAATTTTTCATGACATACATTCATTAGTCGGCGTCAATAGACGGCCATCTCGAACAAGAACATAAAACAAACTAACAAGCTGTATTGTGGAAGTTGGGTGATAAAATAAATACCTTATAGGGACTTAAATTGTGAACTGAGCAATCCAAAACTGCTTCTCTTCCTACTGCTACCGTGAGGTTAGTTACGGGCTCTCTAAAACTTGGCGATTCTGCAATAAAAAGTTTGATTTAGTTTCTAGTTTGATGATAATTTATAGAGGCAACATTGTTCAAATATTCATTCATTAATTCATGATGATACTTCATCTTTTCAGTGGTACATCAGAAAATAAAACTTTGGGCGCAAAAATCTTGGTGAAACTGTGAGAAAGAATTTCAAAAGGTTCTCGAACTCATTACAGAAAAAATCACCTAGCATTTGTTACAGATGTGAGAAAAACTTGAAAACATATTCGATCGAAAGTCTAGTTTGAATGATAGAAACTTATGTTTTCCTTCATCAATGGAATGAGCATGAAAAGAGGCTGATTTACAATTTGAAACTATTGTTAGGAATGAAACCTTTTTTTTGTGATGAACTTGATAAATATATCATCACATGAATAATAGAGAAACAAAATTTAGGTTAATAATGGTATGGAAAGGTTTAATCCAACTCAAAATTCTGAAAATATTCAAAAAACACTTTATTGTGAGATTTTCACTAAACAATTTTGAAAAAACGCCACATGTTTAGTGCAAATCTCAAAATAAAGTCTTTTGAATACATTAGTTATGGATTTTCATCAAGTATCGGCCAATTCCATCATCTAACAAAATGTTGCACTCTTCTTCTTCACGTAAACATAAAAATCATGCTTTGAAGTTTTCATTGAGTTCGTAGTTTCAAAAAAAATATATTGAAAACGACAATCGACTATGTCAATCATACTTTATTACATAATAAGCTAAGAGCAATTTGTATTCGGGATCAGTTCTTGAAGTGGATTAAATCATATTTATATGGACGTCAACAATACGTTAGTGTTTCGAATATCACGCAAAAATCAGTGTCAGTAAATTTAATTATTTCTCTATCACTATGGGTGTCCCACAAGGATCTGTTTTGGAGCTCGTTTCATTTTCACTATATTTAAGTAACATAACATCTATTACATCATCAGTATACCTCACAATTTATGCAGATGACATCTAACAAATCAAAGGCAGCTTTAGAAACACGGTGTAATAATATACAGAGTGTTTCAAATTCGTTTCTCACCATTGAGATTTCGGAAACTATGAGAGATACGAATATGGTTGAATCGGGGCAAAGTTGCGCATTTACCTGTCTAACAATATGCCGTTGAGAAAGTTATGAAATTCCGATATTCGGAGATATCCGGAAAAAACAGAAATTTCGGAAGATGGGTTTTATTTTTTCCTGGCTTTATTTTTCGAATGATTCGAAAATAAATTGCACTTTCACCTCACCACTTTTTCTCTGCTACATAATGGTGTTTTCACATTTGCTATCCGAGGTTTAGTCTTCCGGCCACTATCATCAATTTAATTTTTTTTTATGGGTGCTACATTGGATTCTATCTGTTTTGAATAGAACCAGATTCAACCTTTTCAATGATGTATCATGAGTTGTCATTCTTCCCCGAAAAATCTACACGTCAAATTTTCGTCGAAATGAATAATTATCTTATAGGTCAGTGGTCGCCAACCTGTCGATCGCGAGCTACCGGTAGCTCGCGGAGGCAATTCTGGTAGCTCTCACAACGATTTTAATTTAAAAAATACAAACTGCAAAAATCAGAGAAGCTTCCGAAAATTCCACAAAAAAATCTAATTGTCATAATATTAAACATAAACAGCGGCAACGTTGCGGTGAACGATCTGCCGCTGACGCCATCAAGCTAGAATCGGCTAGAACCGACCAGCCGAACCAGCGCGTTAGCGTTCAAGAACGATCTGGATTACTTTGAACGGGGTAAATACGCACGGCGCGGCGACATTGCGCTTAGTTTAAAATTGAACGCGTAACCAACGTCCAGCGGTTGGGTTAGGAAAGAACAACAAAAATAATATTATGGCAAGCAGTTGTAAGAAGGTAAAGACATACCACTTTCATTCGGAATGGGAAGAACAATACTTTTTTACAGAAGTTAAAGATAAAAATGTGTGTTTGTTATGTAATAATTCGGTCTCCGTTGCTAAAAAAGGAAATATTGAGAGACATCATAAAACTGTACATTCTAATTTTGAAAAATCATTCCTACTACATTCTGCCGCCCGAAAGGAGAAACTGAAACAATTAAAAAAGCAGTTAATTGGACAACAATCAATACTTTTAAGAACAGTCGATAAAAATAAGGCTGCAACTGAAGCATCGTACCGTGTGTCCCAGATAATTGCACAAAAAAAGAAGCCATATGAAGACGGGGAAATGATAAAACAGGTGTTTTTAGAAGCTGCTGATTCGTTATTTGCCAACTTTAGAAATAAAGACGAGATAGTTTCAGCTATAAAATCTCTGCAACTTTCTGCTAATACAGTGATGAGACGTGTAGAAGTAATGAGCAATGATATTTTTTTACAGTTAAGAACTGACTTAGATAACTGTGTTTATTTTTCACTTCAACTGGATGAATCAACAGATGTCGTTGACACTGCCCAGATGGCAATATCCAATATCGAAAATGGTGCTTGGCAACCCATGGCGCTCCAGCTATGGTGGGTTGTGATAAGGGTCTGGTGGCGTTATGTCGTAAAGATGAAACTTTTCCGCAATTTCTCTGTTACCACTGCATTAACCATCAGCAAGCATTATGTGGAAATTTCCTAAAACTCAACAACGTTATGAAACTGGTGGTAAAAATTATGAACAAGATTAGAGCTCAAGCGTTACAAAAAGATTATTCAGAACCTTGGCCGATGAATTTGACTGTCAATACGGGGACCTACTCCTTCACTCTGAAGTCCGATGGTTAATTAGAGGACGGGTGCTGAAACGTTTTAATGATGTCCTATCTGGCATAGTTCAATTTTTCAAACAACGCGATGAACCGACTCCGGAACTAGAAAATTCAATCTGGCTTAGAGATTTTGGTTTTCTCGTGGACATTACAGAGAAATTAAACGAACTCAATTTGCAGCTTCAGGGGAGAGATAAAGAACTAGCGGAAATGATTTCTGACATAAAAGCATTTATAAAAAAGCTGGAGTTTTGGAAACAAAATCTACTTAACAGTGATGCCAAGCATTTTCCTATTCTTTCAGAAAAAATATCTCAAAATCCATTAGAACCCTATGACAACAAATATCATGTAGAAATAATTTCTACCCTGAAGAATAACTTCAAAAATCGTTTTAAGGATTTCAATGAAATGGCTTTAGTAGCGCAGTTTGTTGTTTCACCCTTTATGGAAATTGATATCCAACAGTTTGCAACTTGTGTTATGCAGAACTTTGGCGAAGACATCGCTGCAACAGAAATGGAAGTCATTGAGTTTCAAAATGATTTAGCCTTAAAATCGTTAGTCTCAAGTACTGAATGTATCTGGCCTATTGTAAGTAAAGACAAATATTCAGTTCCATGCCGTGTTGCCTTGAAAGTGAAAGCATTATTCAGTTCAACCTATTTGTGTGAATCTTCTTTTTCCAATATGAAGTTTATTAAGAACAAACATCGCAATCGACTTACAGATGAACATTTGGATAATTGTATTCAAATGGCTGCATCAAATTATACTGCAAACATTAAAAAAATTATCGATGAGTCTGAGTGTCAGCCTTCTCATTGAACGTGCTTTTTTATTTTTCAATGTTTATGTTCATGATAGTGCGTTATTTTTTTGTTGTTATTATTAACGATTTTTAAATCATACGTGACATGTCATTGTGGCTGGATAAAAGTTTGTGTTTATTTTTCAAACACCTCCGTTTGATAGGTAGGAATGTAGCTATGAACAAGTACGTACTAGTAATATTAGTTATTTTGTTATTAGTTTATTTTTAGTACCTATGTATTATGTATTACCAGTTAAATAGTAAAATAAATACATATAATGATAAATTAACTTTGGATTATTTCATTTACGTTGCGTTACGTGGCTTCCGTGTGGGTAGCTCGCTGTTTATTCAAAAATTAACAAAGTAGCTCAACACATTGAAGAGGTTGGCGACCACTATTATAAGTGCTTGAAAACATCTAAAAAAAACGGTTTGAAATTTCACAAAAGACAGATGTCTCAACAATTGCATCCAGGTGATTCCGAAAGGCAATTATAATTTTGTAATTGGCTAATAAGAATACCTGATTCTCCTGGAAAATTTAATTTGGACAGATGAAAGCACCTTCACGAATTGTAGGATATTCAATCGAAATAACGAACACATTTGGATGTGTTCAACCTCAGGCAGTTCCGAAAAATTCGATCTCAAGCGCGATTTAGTATTAACGTGTGGGCAGGAATTTACGAACATAGAATTTCGAGTCCTCATTTATTTGACGGAATATTCTGAATGGAGAAACCTATCACCAGTTTTTAATGTCGATTTTCGATGACAATTTGGATGATCTACCTTTGGCTAACTGTAACAACATCTGATTTCAGCATGATGGTGCTCCACCGTATTCTACCAGGCAAGTATCTAATCACCTGACTCAAAGGTTTGGTGATAAATGGAGGTGGCCTGCAAGGTCATTTCCATGTGGTACACTGAAAAATAGAGTTGATGGCCATAGGAAATATCAAAATATTGAGGACCTTCAACACAGCATTGTTAGTGAGTTCGAAATATTGAGGAGTGAAATTAATCGTGCAGTGAATAATATTCGAAGCATTTGCTGTGATTTACTTTTGTCTTTTCATTTTAGTTAATTATTGTTATTTGTTCAAAATTTTATTTACATTGAAAAGGACATAATGTCCGATTTACCTCATACACACCTCATTTATCAAATTTTGATTATTGAGATTAAAATCTCGGTGAGATTTTGATCCATTAACTTGGAAATAGTTCGATGTGGTTGTCGTCTTTTGGGATACAAGTTCAAATACATTTCCGATGTCCTAACACTATTTCTATCGTATTTGTAATGAATTTGTTTAATAACAATAATAATAATGATAATCGTCTTTATTACTTTCGAATAGATATATACAAAAAAACTTGATCAGAAATACTGATAACTATCCTAATTATCAATGAAAATAAAGA